AATTGTGAAAAGCATACAACATAAAAATCTTTGTGAAAATTTTTGTGGAATTGAAAATACCACAAAGGAGTTTAGTGATTTCCACTTAAAAAGGCTTGGTTATTAAGTGGCTCTTAGTAGCTCACCTCCCTTGATAGTGCAATTTGTACACTTATACTTCCAAGTGCTATTTTTGTTCCTAGAAAAGACCAAAAATATTTTATCTCTTTTACATAGCATATAAATTTCTTATTGCTTAATCATGAGTCATATTTCTCAAAGTGATAGTGATCTTGAATCTCCTAAAAGTTTTTCTAAAATTGTTAAGGAGGTTGAGGCACTAAAACTATGGAGACAACAAGAGGTACTTCAAAAAGAAAGAGAAAAGATTGAAAGAGAAGTACAACTTATTGCTCTTGAAGAAGAGATAAACAAAATTAAGCAACAAGAAGAAAAACTTTTAAAAAAACTTAAAAAAAGAAAAAGTCAAAAGAGTTCCACTAAAAGTTCCAATGTCTCTACAAGCCAAGAGGATGTGGGTAGTTTGAATGTTGATGAATATTACCAACCCATGCCTAGAAGAGTCATTAAGGAACCCAAAGTGAGGGAATCAAGGGTTGATCTCCCTTACTTTCATGGAAAAGAGGATGTTGATGCCTGCTTGGATTGGGAAATGAAAGTGGAGCAAATCTTCACTTGTCATCAAGTAGGTGAAGAAATAAAAGTTCCCTTAGCCACCTTAGCTTCCCGAGGACAAGCTATGTATTGGTGGACATCATTGGAAAGAGAGAGGAGACTTCATAATGACCCTCCTATTGTTTATTGGAATGAATTGAGGAGTGCTATGAGGAGAAGACACATAACTTCTTATTATTATATTGTATAATTTGGGTATTAGAATTAGGCGTTACATTCTACACATTAAAAGTCTATATCATTAAAGTCCAAATTACTCCAGATATTCTAACATGAAGTAGTATGAAAAGTGGTACATCAATGAAGCACCATTTTTAATCGCTAGATTTAATAATAAAATAATCAACAGTTCAGATTTGTTACCTGTAACTTGTTTGTGGAAATTTTTGTATTTTGTTGATTAGACCCTGTTTAGGGTTACTATTTTGGCCACCGGCAAGTTGTGAGGACGAGGAATACGACGGCGGCGAGTGCGATGACGAGGCCGTCGAGGGCGAGTCAAGGGTGGGGAGGGCCGGATTTGGAGGTGGTGAAGTTTAGGGTTTAGGAGAGGTCTTGGGAGAGTTGAACGCCGCGGACGACGGGGAGGGGGAGGTAATGGCAGAGGAGGGACATGAGGCCGGTGGCGCCGAGGAGGAGGAGCCCGCGCCTCCACTGCCATCGCACAAACGAAGTCGCACTTTCGCTGCCACAGTGCGAAGGAGTTCGCGCCTCCGCGCTGCCGTCGTGCGAAGAAGGTCGTGCCTCCGTGCCACCATGCGAACAAAGTCGCGAAGGAGGCCGCACCTCTGCTGCCATCGCGCGAACAATGTCTCGTTTCTACTGCCACCGCGTGAAGGAGCCCGCACCTCCGCGCTGCCACCGTGCGAAGGAAGCCGCGCCTCCGTTATCACCATGCGAACGAAGTCACACCTTCGTTGCCACCATCGTGCTGCCACCACCGTGGAAGGAGATGACAACTCCGTTGCCACCGTGCCTCCGCTGCCATCGCGCCGCCACAGTGCCTCTACATATAATATAAGGACTATTTTACAATTTTAAATAAGTTGGAAAACTTGCTATAGCAGGTCATTTTACTGCCTCATGAATGAGACATTAGTTGAACTGCTTCATGTTAGAATGGTTCAAATTACTCACATTATTAGATCACTTTTAGTTAAACATTCTTAATTTTAAGTGATGGTTTAAGATACAACATTATAAGGCACAAAGCTTATTTGTATACTTGCAATTTAACTTTTCAAATTGATTGCATATCTAGCCAAATTTATTTAAAACATATTTGGATAAGTTTAAACATATTTAAGTAAAAAAAAATTAAAATAATTTTCTTAATGTTAAAACTAAGTAAAACATTGAAAAAGTTAATTAGAGAACTTTTAAAAATTAGTTTATGTATAAATCAATTTTAACTTATAGAGAAATTCATTTCATTTTTCTTCTTATTTTACTCTTCTAAAATACTTTTTGAGAAATTTATTTATATATATATATATTTAAAAAAAACCTTAGGTGCTTGTATGAAAAACTTCGTGATTGTTATTGTGATTGGTGCGTGAATATGGGAGGCTTGAATAGAATGTGGTTCCTCCACGCACGGTTCCTTAGAAGTGATGTTTATGTTCAGGCGCACCAACCTGGTGCGAAGTCGCTTTCTCATTAACCCTTCTTAACCACACATACTACTAATATCACTTGTGTTGCCTGGAACGTTGGACTATGTCTTATGAGGTTGTGCTCATTTCTTTGTCATGGAACCAATTACTGTTCCTGAGACATTGCTTGCTTTGGCTGCCATTTCAGTTTGACACTTCACAATTGGTATGCCTTAAGATTCACCACCAACACTCACCCAATAATTCACAATATTGGAGCTTTTCCAGTTTTACTAATAAGTCTTATAAATTTCCCCTGAAAACAAAATCCAACATTATTACATTCAACATCACTATGTACACCCAAAGGGGTTCAAACATTACATCACGCTGTTGGTGCAAATAATTTCAAACCTAATATTACTGTCAATTATTGAATTTATTTACCAAAATCAGAAGAATACGGCCATTTGAATTAGCCCTGTATAGTTTGAATAATTAATTCTTAACATACTTCTCTACGTTTAAAATTTCCATATAAATAGGTAGTATAACAAAGTGACCAAATAAAACAACAGGCGAACAAACTAAATTTATTAATAGTCACTTCAGTTGTTGGGTGTATATTATTCATTGCTATCTCAGTCAAACCGAATCATCTCGCTAAAGACGCAAAATTTGTCATACTTTAAGTATGACAATGTTCACAAAAAGGATTTGAGTTCGACACAAGCGAGCTTATTTTTGTTGCTAAAAATTAAACATAGATCCAAGGGATAGAAAAATAAAATAACTAACCTCCCTGAAAGAGAAATGTCAACCTGTCATTATTTAACTACTTATTTACAAAACTGGGTCAGGCTTCTGGGCCTACCCTTCTGATCCACTAAGATGTATCGGTATTTATTTACCACAATAAGAAAATAAGTGAGTGGACGAAAAAAAAACGCAAAAAGTTAGAGGTTGTTTCAGTAACTTTATTCGTTTCCTGATAAGCACCGACAGATTTTAATGTGCAATTTATTTACCTTGATTCTCGTGTCTTAAAGTCCATTTTCTTAAACGCAGGAAACCAAACAAGGCATTCCATTTAGGCATTAAGAGTATATGTTTTCAATGACTGAATTGCCCTTAACTCGGACTATATTTCCACCTTTTTTCATGCTGCAAATACAAGTACACAACCAACTGCTTCAACCACAACCACCACCTTGTGCATTAAACCCCCACATCCCTCAGTTCCACAAAATCTAACATATTTGTTTTCCCCTTTCCTCTCAATACTCTCTGCAATTCTCTGACTCCAACCTTGCCATTTTCTAGTCTTAGATTTTGGTTATGATTATAAATGTTTTATTTTGGTGTTAACTAAGCTGGTTTCACTAAATTTAGAAATTTAAAGTAGCATTGCTTTTTATTTTTTGATGCATGAAAGTAGCATATTTTTGCAAACCTTTCCTTCTTAGGGAACTTATGCTTATAACGTAAATGTAGAGCCTGATTGTGAATGTTTCCTTCTTGTGTACTTTTACAATGGATATATGGAATAGTTGGTGGGTTTTGCAAATTATGCAGTTGCTGGGTTTGTTCAGTTTTTGGATCTCATTTGCCAAGTTTAGAACTTTATTCTCAAGAGCTTTTGGTTATGGTCACAAAGTTGTTAAGGGTGACTACAGTACCTGGATCTTTGGTTCCTTCAATGGGTTGGTCACAGTTGGTTCTTTCATATTCTTCCTTTTGGTCCTTTCCTGGGCTTATTTATATGCATTTCCCAGTTCTCCCTCAGTGGTTCAGAGTTATAGTGAGATTCCCAACAGTTCTCACTCACTTGCTCAGAGTTATGAGATTCCCAACAGCTCTCAGTCTTTTGTTCAGAGTTATGATGAGATTCTAAAATCCAATGTTTCAAAGAACACATGCAATGTGTTTGAAGGAAGTTGGATAAGGGATGATATCTACCCTTTGTATGATGCTTCTCACTGCCCTTTTGCTGAGAGGGGTTTTAATTGCCTTGCTAATGGGAGAAAAGATAGGGGTTACACAAAATGGAGGTGGAAACCCAAGAACTGTGATATTCCAAGGTTTGATGCCCGTAGAATACTTGAACAACTTCGTGGGAAAAGGGTGGTTTTTGTTGGGGACTCGTTGAGTAGGACGCAATGGGAGTCCATGATATGTTTGCTAATGACAGGAGTTGAGAATAAGAAGAGTGTGTATGAAATCAAAGGCAACAAGATCACGAAACAGATAAGGTTCTTAGGTGTGAGGTTTAGTTCTTTTGATGTTAGAATCGATTTTTATCGATCAGTATTCCTGATGCGGCCTGGTTCCGTGCCTAAACATGCATCCCAAAGGGTGAAGACAACACTGAGATTGGACAAGATGGATGATATTAGCCATGAATGGATTGATTCTGATATTCTTATATTCAATTCAGGTCACTGGTGGACAAGGACCAAGCTTTTTGACATGTGAGTGGCTTCATTTTCCTCATAGTGATATGATTTGCTTCTTTTTGTTGATAGTAGATATACATTTTAATGCCATGATTATTTTTTTCTTATTTTATGATAATACTTCTGGACTTAATATTTGTCTCTGGTTCCGTAGAAGGGATGCTTTATTGGCAGTTTACAAATCACACCTTTACTAATGATTAGACTTACATACGATAGGGAAATGGACCAGCTTCAGTGTTATTGCTTTCACGTTAAACGTGATTTTTCACGTTTTAAACGCGAATGCAAACATACGCTCAATCGCTTCTTTAACTGCATCTACTGCAGGCATAATCCAAGGGCTGAAAATTCTGTCAGCATATTTATTTTAATATTTTAACTAACCAGAGAAGAAAACTTAAAGTTTAACCTCTGTAGTTTTTTAATCCATAATATAGATGTCTCAAAATTTCATTGTCCTGAATGTTCAAAAGATTTGTAATTAGCAGTAGTAGCTTTTCGTCAAATGTTAAGTACATCCATATGATAATTTTGAGCACCTACTGCAGAGAAAAGTGATCTTTCTGGATATTTGTCACGATTATTACTGGAAATATTATAAATTTTACCATGTTTTTCTGTTTCTCGGATAACTTTTCTGTCCAAAGTTTTTGATTAATGCTATTACTTGTACAATTTATTGAGAGGTTGTAGATATTTTGCTGTTCAGAATTCTACAGATGAGATGTATATATACCATCAAAACTGAGATAAATAAACTTAAACAAGATGGTATAATGACATAGATACATTATACCATGATTTTTTTTTATTAGTTGACAAAGTAAAATTTTTCACACGAACCTGCATAGAAATTAAACTCTTTTCTTTTGACTTTGTATGCCTCTACTATTTGACTGTTTGATACATGACCAGGACTAAATTTTTTTTATGAAGATTGTCTATGAACCATTTGGTGCTAACGTGATCTTCAGACAGGGGCTGGTATTTTCAGGTTGGTAACTCACTGAAGCTTGGAATGCCAATTAATTCAGCTTTCAACACAGCTTTGCACACATGGGCTTCTTGGGTAGAGAATACAATTAACACAAACAGAACAAGAGTATTCTTCCGCACCTTTGAATCATCACATTGGAGGTGAGTTGTGCACCATATTTGTGTTTAGCAAGTTAGGACAATGGCTAAATTATATGGACCAAAAATAATACTTAGTTCACTATTCCTTTTGTAACACGAGCCATCAAACTTTATTACAATTATGAATAATGAATAAGATGCTTGTGTTTGTGGCAGTGGACAAAACCATAATTCTTGCAAAGTGAGTCAAAGGCCTTGGAAGAGAACAAATGGCAAGGATCGAAGCCCAATTTCAGATATGATCAACAAAGTTGTGAAAAATATGAGTGCCCCTGTAACGGTTCTTCATGTTACACCAATGACTGCATACAGAAGTGATGGACACGTGGGCACTTGGAGTGACAAGCCATCAGTGCCTGATTGTAGCCATTGGTGCTTACCGGGTGTTCCTGATATGTGGAACGAAATTCTCCTCTCATATTTGCTACCAAATTAGAATGAGAGGTATCAACGGGTTAGTTTTTGTAACATTTAAGCCATGTAGCTTAGTACTCAATTGTACTCAATGGTAAGAAAATGTGACCAATGTTGATCTGAAATGATTGATGTTTACTAAAAGAGTGATGTAAAATAATTGGCATTCGCAAAAAATTGATGCCAGGGCAAAAATGTTGCTGTGCGATTAAGGTATTCATTTACGCAGTAGATTTTTATTTTTTATTTTTCATCTGTAGTATAATATAATTTGCATTTTCATGATCAGTATTCTTGTCATTTACTTTTTCATTTCATTTATTTTTGGGGTTTAATTTTTATACACTAATGGAAGAGAAAGAAATAAAATAAAAATTAAGAAATATTTTTAAATTTTTATTTTTTTAAAAGAATTTTAAATTTTAATATTTAAAATTTTTTGTAAATATTTGAATTTCAAATTCTTTATCTAAACAAGACATTTTATCTCAAAAAATTTGAATTTCTTAAAAAAATAAATTATTTTATTTTAAATTCTTCATCTAAACATATTTTAATTAAATTTTCTTTAAGTGAGATAAAACTAGTTTGTTTTAGTGTTAAGATTCTTTAGACAATAAGATCACATTTAAAAAATACTTAAATTACGTAAAAGCTACAAATTGTCGCTTTTGTATCTACCAAAAAAAATTGTCGGTTTTGTTGCTGCTCATGTCCAAATAGAAATAATGAGTAACCAAACTTGCGCTATGTCTGTATGATCGATATTTTTTTTTTTCTTCTAAATATTTGAAACGAAGAGAGAATTTTACTGCCTATTCTCAATCATTTTTTGTTTTTAATATCTCTTAAAAAATTGTAGAAAAATACAATTACAATTGACATACAATTAAAACATCTGAATAAGCGAAGAATGCTTTAATGAAAACAAATTAAATACACATTTTAGGAGCAAAACAAAATATTTTTTATCTGTTTTGAGTCTAAGTCTTTACCGTCATCACTCAAAAGATCTTTAAATCATTATATTTGTATTTTATAAATTATTATTTCTTCTCTTATTTTATTAATGTAAGATTTATTTGTATCTCATCATCTACAATATTTTCTCAAATGAAATACCAGTAACTTCGTCCACAGAATTCACAAGTACCACCAGCTATAAGAGCTATACGTAATCACAATGCACTGAAGGATGTGGCGTGATTATATTTTTTGGTATTATTAAAGTTGAAAGTTATTTTTAAAATGAAGTGTATAAAAGGGAGAATGATAGATCGTATTGTGTGGCGTGAGCATGTCTACTAATTCTGCTAGAATTTCTGTAACATCAATTCAGACGTCACATGCTTAAGTGTCTTCACACTTTATCTTTAGAGGACTTTTGTTGTATTAGTATGGAAAATTTGTAATCAAGTGTAGGCAAACCCTGTGTTTAGAAGACTTTTGTTATATCAATATTGAAAATTCGTAATCAAGTTGAGCACGCCTTATTAAATAGTTGTTTTAAATAAAATAAGTGAACAACTTACTATTGAGTTAGACTTCTTTTAGGCCCTTAGAGAAATCGGATATAATTTTATATTGTGAAAGAATCTCTTTGTGAGGGAAACAATTCTGATATTTACTTCAGAAATAAAGAATATATTCTTCTACTAACGAAACCAATTGCGAAGTTAAGTGATTCTTCATTTTAGATGAAAGGTTAAGTGCAGAGTGCAGAGGATATTGTAAAAACTTCTAAGCCCAAAGAGTACAAATAACATTTTCTTTTTTCACCAAAACCACACTATTGGACCTGCGTTGAACAATTGTGGTGCATATGAAATTTTTCCTCAAGAAAAAAATCTCATTTAAATTACCACAAGAACAACAAATCAACAAAAACGGCATTATATTTAACATGCATTAGACAATAACGGCAGCAAAGAAACTACCATCCTCTACATTCAAACTTACAAAAATGTTCACAAATTCAAAAGCCCTAAAGAGATTTATATAAGAAATTTATTTTCTTCTTTTCACAACCAGAAAGAGAACTCAGTCCCCCAACAGGGACTATGCCATCATCATTGTTCCATAGTTTTACTCCCCCATACGAATGATGCATCTGATGGACTCCCCTTTCAGCATGTAATCAAAAGCTTTGTTGATCTCTGAGAATCCAACTGTGTGAGTGATGAATTTATCCAGTTCCAATTCCTGCGGACAAGACCACATTAGCAATTAAGATATCAATATTAATGTCTTCATAGATTGCACTATTCAATCAATATATAAGCTTACCCCACTCATGTACTTCTCCACAACAGCAGGTAGATCAGTGCGGGGTTTGTAGTTACCATAGAAGGTACCCTTGAGAGTCCTCTCATTCAAGAAATTCATTGGATGAGTTTTGAATGCATCATCTTTGTTTGGAACTCCAACAAGTACAGCAACACCCCAACCCTGAGAAGAAGAAATCAATGTTCAGCCTTAGAAACTATAATATAAACATTTAGCATAAAATAGAGTAAATGAGTTATGATTTATTTACATCGTGGACACATTCGAATGCTGAGATCATGGCCTGAATGCTGCCAGTACATTCCACAGCACGATCCACACCCCCATTTGTCATTTCAGCAATCACCTTGACACCAACATTCACATCTCAATCAGCATCGGAAAATAAAAAACAACATTGGAAAAACACAGCTTTGAGAGAACAGAAATATAATAAACTTTACAAACTAACCTGTTGTACAGGCTTGTCATGATCTTTTGGGTTCACAAATTCATTGACCCCAAACTTCTTAGCTGCCAAGAGGAACAAAAATGAGAAATACCAACAATAATTAAATCGCCATTTACTTAATGTTAAGCTGAATCTCAAACATTTGTTGGAAGAAGAAAGCACTATACCTTCTTCAAATCGGCTGGAAACTAAATCAACCCCAATAATTCTAGATGCACCAGAAATCCTTGCCCCTTCAGCAGCCTAGAATTTGGATCAAACATCAAAGATAAGAGAAAGAGTTAATATTGGCCATTTATCAGTTGCATAATAACTACAATGCTCACTCACACACAACAAACACACAAAGGCATAAGGGTATCATACAGCAAGGCCAACAGCTCCAAGTCCAAAGATGGCAACAGAAGAACCAGGTTTTGGTTTTGCAACATTGACAGTGGCCCCAAGACCTACAAGCATGAATGAAAAATGTGAGAGTTTGCAGTTTTTACTAACATTATCATGACATAACTATCTCAGGGTAGGGACGTTCCAAACCTGTGCAGATTCCACAACTGAGAACACAGATTTTGTCAAGTGGGGCTTCAGGGTTGACTTTGGCAACACATCCAGCATGGACAACAGTGTATTCACTGAATGTAGAGGTACCAACAAAATGGTAAATAGGCTTTCCTTTAATAGAAAATCTTGTTTGGCTGTCATGGATCATGACACCCCGATCAGTGTTGATCCTGAGCAGATCACACATGTTGCTCTCCTCTGACTTACAATGTGAACAATCCCCACACTCTCCGGTAAACACAGGGAGGGCATGATCCCCTGGTTTGAGATGAGTCACACCCTCACCTACGCTCTCCACAATCCTAAACAACATCAACCCAACATCATTGATTTTAATGTACATACAAGAAAAAAAAAAGTTTGACTCAAAAATGAGACAAAAGTCCAAAGTATACGGCAAAAATTTATAATGTCTGATTCTGAGTGGAATATTTAGAAGAGAAACATACCCTCCAGCTTCATGACCAAATATACGAGGAAACAATGGAGTCTGGCCCTGAAACGAGGATAATAAAGGAAATCACGTTACAGTTATTTCCAAACTATAATTAAAACAACTGTGAAACCTTATTTAATGTTTTGGTACCTATTTGCTAGAATATGCTTAGATCAGATTAACTATGCTTGCCGAGTGCTAAATAAAATAAAAAATTTTGTTACCTTGGCTTCCCAGAAGTAAACATCGGTGTGGCAAAGGGAGGTGTAGAGGATCTTCAAACGCACTTCACCAGCCTGTGGTGGTGCCACCTCTACTTCTTCAATCACCAGTGGCTTCCCTGCCTCCCATGCAACCGCGGCTAGTACATTTCAATCAACTCATTCAGTTAGTAATACATAGACACATTAAAGTTCTGATTTAGGCACAACAAAATTTGAAAACGAAAATTTCCACCTTTTAATAACATAAAATGATAATCTGTCTGTTAAACACACTTGAGCACTTAAAAATACTATAACTACAATATTGGTGAGAAAATAAGAAAAACAGCAACCAAAAAACTGAACTTAGGATCGAAAAGGAAAAGGATCATTATGATTTTCTAGATGCCCAGATAAAGTAGCAAAACAGATTAAAAAAAAAAAAAAAAACTTTCCTCAAAATTAAGTTGAGAAAATACCCAAGCTTATGTACCCCACAAAAAAAATGATAAGGCTAAGGTTTGTTCATGAAAATCAGAGTAACCACAAGAAGATTATACATCGATGCACGATACTATATTTTTTTCCGAGAGAAATTAAAAAAAAAAAAAAAAAAAAAAA